CCCCCCCCCCCGCCCGGTACGCCCATGAATTTACCGGTGGCGAAAAGTCGCCTGGCGTTAAAGTAGCAAAGTAGGGCGCATGAGAACACATTGCGGTTTAATGGTTGGCAAGAAACAATAAATTGCATGCTAAATAATATTTTTATTCACCATAATAATTGCACTAATATTCATATGGAGTTAGATATGGTGAAAAGTCACTGTGATTAAGAACTGACCAAAGAATTTCTTATGTTTATATAGCGTGGGTGAAGATTCCAGTGACTTTGGAATAATGTTACAAAGATTAACGGACACTTTCAACGACAAATACCACTTAGATGAGGTGAATGGATTTACTTATGTGAATTTAGCTTTTAACTTACACTAGAGGGCATTTGAAATAAAACTTGGCATAGCTCTACAGTACTTTTCCCATATATACTTTTTCTATAATGGTTTTCATTTCGGAAACGTTTTTGATGATCGAGATAATTGCGCGATATCAGTTAAATTAAGGAAACATTCTCAAAGTCTACTTAGTACTTTTCAAAATTGGAATCTTACTCAGGTCAAAACTTTTGCTGACAATAATATTGAATATAATTTACGCATTGACAACTATTTCTAAACTGCTACCATAGTATTATATAATGAACATATACTACAAAATAAAGGTCTAGTTTTATTTTGAAGACAAAACGATGTATTTCTTTCCAGAAAGTGATTCCATACAAAGATAGTACCCTTTCAACACAGAAATTACGAGCTATATTAACTATTAAATTCCGCAAAACTGCATGAAAAACCTATAGTTTTTCGCTGTTCGACAAAACGTCTTATAAGCTAACTGGTGAAAAACATAAAGCCTTTTCTTGTTATTTTCTAGGTGAAAGAATTTATCAAAAAGCACTCGTCTTTATTCAGTAATACTCGAGCCGGCAAGAAAGCTGTGGAAAGTATTAAGACAAATATACACTGGATGAAATCACATTATACCACGATATTTAACTGGCTCAAACAAGTCAACAATGAAGAATACTAAATAATGCAAACTCCATGATAAATTAACGAAGAAATATGCGTCATTACATGACATAGGTAGTGGAAGTCAAATTTGAACCTCTTTAATAAGCAGACGTTTGTATTAGTCGACTACCAACAACTTCCAGACGGGAAGGGTCGGAAAGTCGAAGTTCTTTTAATCATTTTTCAGGTATAATTGCATCGTCTAAACAAGTTCGCATGCAGTGTATATAAAATGTGTACCAATTTGGCAAACGTTTGTGCTGATCACGTGGCTTATATCCAATTTACAACTTTGAAAAGCTCGCATGTCTAGCTATATTATTCCAGTATGCTGAAGCATGGAATGTAATACAAGCGTATTTTCAACCATTGGTAGGTTATAAATTAAACTAAATGTTGCCCCCCCCCCCCTAATACTTCGCGAAGTGTGGGCAGATGTATCAAACCAATAGATCTAGATGTAACATACATGCATATATGGTAGAATAACTCGTATTCGCGCGGTAAGAGAATTCGTGTGCAAACCATCGGTGCGCGATATTTAAACTGAGCGAACATTAAAATAGTCCGCGCGAAAAGGTGTGTTATTGTAATACAAAATACTAAACGTTAGACAAGCAAGTTAGAAATTATACTATATGACCTTATACTGTAAATAAATTATGTTATGTGAGATTGTTTTAACTCGCGTGGTATTAATAAAATAGCAAGTCTTTGGATGAAAGATTTAGTAAAGCCAGACGATCTTACAATCTTAGCATATTGGTATAAACTAATCACTGAGATACGCGATTCCATTCTGCCAAAGCACGTCGTACAGTGTCTTGTTTAAATTGTGGAAAATGCTCTTGAAAGGCTTTCAAAATTTCTTCATCAGAATTCAAATGAGTCGTCACCAGTTCGCCAGTCTCGTTCTCAACGAACAACTTGTTGTTCGCGATGGCGACAGCACGTTTCCTTGGAAACCAAACAGCACGTGGAGATGTTGACGTAAAAGTAGTAAGGCCAGCAGCTACTGTACGATATACATCGTCAGCTGGCTTGTGCGGGTCACGTGGTCTATGGTCGGGATCAAAGGAATAGAATCTTCTCCAACGGCCTATAAAAAAATCAAGGCCTTCTATTGGTGGATTATTACGTTTAAACGTATCTCCTTCCCCATGCATCCGTAAGATCTTTCCATCAAAGCGAATGTATTTGTATTCTAAGAAACCATCCGTGAATATCGGAGATTCTTCGGAAAAGTTCAATGAAATTGTACGGAAAGTTGGAAAGCCTGTTCCGCAGTCGACGAGATGAAGATTGGATTCGTTTTCAATGCCGTCAATCAGCAATAACACATGATTATTAGGCGCAGTATGGTTACCAGTAACTACAGAGGGTACCTTCGTACTGAGAAGCCTAAAGCTTTAAACAATTCCCACGTGAAAAGCGCCATGTCACAGCAAAGTCCACCGATACCCGACACGCATCTTTCTTTAATTTCATCATACGTTGGACGCTTGTGTATGTCGTCAAGTACTGTTACGCTTTGAAAGGCAACGTTTTCATGGATAACTCGTACAATTTCGTCTGCGAGATTCTTCCGATCATTCTTCAATCTTTCTTCAAAATTTCGTACTCCCCAGGAACTCTGAAGGAGTTCCACAGCTTCAATGTATGTAAACATTTTCCCTTGCGGCAATTCTCGCTCAACTTTATAGTAGATGTCACTTGTTTAGTGGAATAATAACAGCTAGATGAATGCTACAGATGGAAGAATTTGAGCAAAAAGGTATTTTAGTCAGTCAAATTATCGCTTTGAAAATATGTCAACTTCATTTAGGGGAAGGGGGTGGGAATGGGTGGTTTGAAGGGGGGGGGGGGGGG